CATTAGTATTGTCAGGTTCTCTCAATATGCGTTTGTTATGGTTATTAATATTATGTTCCGTATTGTTCATGCAGCTGTAACTTAATTTAATTGTGTTGCGGTTAAATAGTTTTCTGAGTTTGTGGTCTATGGGAAAGTGCTTGTCAATTAGTGAAATGAATTTGTAGCCGATGCTTGTGCTGACGTTCTTGCTGTATGGTGGGTTGTACCAGAGTATTTATTTCTAAGTCTGTTTTTGCGTTTTGTAGTAGCGTTTGGGTCATATTTCAGTGTGTAATGATATCCATTTTCGTCAAGTGCTTTTTGGTATGGAGGAATTGCTTGGTCGAATGATGCTCTGTCGGATGATAAGGATGAAAGGCGTTTGTTAATGGTATCGGGTATGTTCTTTGTAATGCTTGGAGGATGGTTGCTTTCGTGGGGGATGTATTGTAAAGAGGTGTCGGGCTTAGTGTAACGTCGATGGGAAGAATTCTTTAGATTGAACGTGATGTCGAGGAAGTTAATGACTTTTTTGTTAGCTTCGATAGTGATACGCAATCCGCTGTTGTTAAATACGCGGCATATCTCTGTTTTAATTTTTTTCTGTTTCTTTAGGTTTTGCTCTAGTAATGGCTAGTCCGTCGTCGCGATAGAGTCCTATGTTAGTGATGATGTGTCGTAGTTGTGAGAGGAGATAGCTTCCTACAAGTTCGCATGTCTCGCGCCGTCGAAACAGCCCATTGTCACGTCGAATGTGGAGTTGTATTTCTTTTGCCATGGTTGTTGGTTGTGAATGAGGTATGAATTCTTGGCATGTATGATAGTGTTTCTCTCTTGATTTGTGATGTTGTCGTGGGTTGAGGCGAAATCAAGTGCTTTGTTTAAGAGGTCTTGGTTGATAGACGGGTAGAAGTCTACAATGTCGAAAGATATGAAATTGAGATTTTGTTAGTGTTTGATGGAGTTGAGCCACTTGATGACAGATGACTAGTTTTTCCATTGGTCCAGCGAAGTGGCTTTTATGATATTGTTGTTTATTCTGTCAAGTATTTTTTTGCTAATTTTTCCAATTTCAGATTTAGTTTGGTTGGTTAGTCGGCAGGTGGGTTTATTTGCGAAGTTCGGTTTGTGATCTTTGATTGTTATGAATTCGTCTTTGTTAGCGGTGGAAACTACTCTGTCAAATATACCCAGTTGTGATGTGATATTTTTGTCTTCGTTGTGAATGGCTTGTATTGCGTCGACGTTTATTTTTTTGTATGAATTCGTGATATTTTGTTGTAGGAGGTCGTTGTATGCTGGCTTGTCTTGTTTGTAGAAGTTTGTTGTTTTGTCGGCTGCGATAAGTAATTGGAAGAAATTTGCCCATGTAATCAGCTGGAAGAAATTGTAGTTTTTGTATATTTTCTTCTTCTCATCAATATTTACGCTCTGCTCTTAAGCATCGAGCACTGTACTTACGGAGATTCAAATAAACAAAACTTCTTATTACGCTCCAATATAAAATTTTGTCAAACACTGTATGATAATCCGGAATGGAGAAACTAAACTTCAACTACAGCATCACGAATATACCTCTACCAGCACCAAATGAATACCTGCAACGACTCATCGAAAAATATGAGTCCTTCCTACGTAATATGCGCTGGAAGGCTTATTTCTTTTTTAACCCGAGATCAACCACAACTTCTAAAGACACCTATGGCTTCAAGAGCATAAAAAACCCTCCACCGATTGACGACTTAAAACAATTCGAAAACGACATGATGAAGATGATCCAATCGGTAAAATTTAATAAAGTACTCAACGCATTTCTCACCGAAATAAAAGACAACACCACGGGCATCAAACACGAAAAAAGCGACTTATCGCAGCCGACAAAACAACAAACTTCTACAAACTAGACAAGCCAGCATACAACGACCTCCTACAATAAAATATCACGAAATCATACAAAAAAATAAACGTCGACGCAATACAAGCCATTCACACCGAAGACAAAAATATCACATCACAACTGGGTATATATGACAGTGTAGACTCCACCGCTAATAACGACACATTCATAACACTCAAAGATCACAAACCGAACTTCGCAAATAAACCCACCTGCCAACTGATCAACCCGACTAAATCTGAAATTGGAAAAATTAGCAAAAAAATACTTGACAGGATAAACAACAATATCATAAAAGCCACTTCGCTGAACCAATGGAAAAACTCGTCATCTGTCATCAAGTGGCTCAACTCCATCAAACACAAACAAAATCTCAATTTCATTTCTTTCGACATTGTAGACTTCTACCCGTCTATCAACCAAGACCTCTTAAACAAAGCACTTGATTTCGCCTCAACCCACGACAACATCACAAATCAAGAGAGAAACACTATCATACATGCCAAGAATTCATACCTCATTCACAACCAACAACCATGGCAAAAGAAATACAACTCCACATTCGACGTGACAATGGGCTGTTTCGACGGCGCGAGACATGCGAACTTGTAGGAAGCTATCTCCTCTCACAACTACGACACATCATCACTAACATAGGACTCTATCGCGACGACGGACTAGCCATTACTAGAGCAAAACCTAAAGAAACAGAAAAAAATTAAAACAGAGATATGCCGCGTATTTAACAACAGCGGATTGCGTATCACTATCGAAGCTTACAAAAAAGTCATTAACTTCCTCGACATCACGTTCAATCTAAAGAATTCTTCCCATCGACGTTACACTAAGCCCAACACCTCTTGACAATACATCCCCCACGAAAGCAACCATCCTCCAAGCATTACAAAGAACATACCCGATACCATTAACAAACGCCTTTCATCCTTATCATCCGACGGAGCATCATTCGACCAAGCAATTCCTCCATACCAAAAAGCACTTGACGAAAATGGATATCATTACACATTGAAATATGACCCAAACGCTACTACAAAACGCAAAAACAGACTTAGAAATAAATACTCTGGTACAACCCACCATACAGCAAGAACGTCAGCACAAACATCGGCTACAAATTCATTTCACTAATTGACAAGCACTTTCCCATAGACCACAAACTCAGAAAACTATTTAACCGCAACACAATTAAATTAAGTTACAGCTGCATGAACAATACGGAACATAATATTAATAACCATAACAAACGCATATTGAGAGAACCTGACAATACTAATGACACCATCAATGATAAAAATACACAAACTAAAATATGCAACTGCCGACAAAAACAAAACTGCCCACTTAACGGAAACTGCCTACAATCATCTGTCATGTACTAGCAACTGTCAAACGTTTGGATAACATCACAACTGAGACCTACATCGGACTTACAGAAAACGAATTTAAGACTCGACACAGGAACCACACTGCCTCTTCGCCACAAAAAACTAAGAAACTCCACCACAAACACATATGGACACTAAAAGATAACAACATCGCTCAAAATATCTCATGGAACATCATTACTCACAGCAAACCGTACAACAGCGCCAACAAAAGATGCAACCTATGCCTGAAGAAAAATTCTTCGTCACCTACCAACCACAACTATCATCACTCAACAAACGTAACGAACTTATCTCCTCTTGTCGCCATAGACACAAGGCACTTTAATCTAATTTGTAGTCGTACACTCAATATATTATGTAATTCTACCTTAATTTTTACCCTAACTTCCTCTTGTATATATAATCTAGCAGATGCTTTTCTATTCATTTAATATTATTCCCTGAAGAGTGAGAAATCACGAAACAGGCTTGTCGGGATGAAATTGTACTTTTTGTGTATTTTCTTCTTCTCATCAATATTTACGCTCTGCTCTTAACCATCGAGCACTGTACTTACGGAGATTCAAATAAACAAAACTTCCTATATATATATATACGCTCGCTGCGCTTGCGCAGTTTAAGCGCTCCCGGATTGCGTAGAGAGTCTCATAAAGAGACGTTCACCGCTTTCGCTTTATGCAAAGCTCACCTTTATAGGTTTGAGCGCTCTGGTGACTCTACAATACAATCCATACAATGTGTAACCGTACGTCCTGTGTCCCAAGTGTAGGAGTCACCCTTTTACTATGGTGATAGCTGGGAGGGCACATTGTTATACACTTGGTATATATATATATATATAAAAGATAAAAGTTTCTCCGGATTTTAAGTGACTTTTATTGAGCTTTTGACTCGTTCCTTCTAGCCTTCATCGGAATGAGGATATATATTTACACGTGCTTTTCGCTTGCAGACGTTTAGAGCGTCTAATTGGATTAGTGGGTGGATCAATGTGATTGGATGGGGTGAAATGCGTTGCCATGGGTTTTGGTGTATTGTGAATATGATTGGTGTTAATAATACCAGAGTGTAATGTTTTAGTTTTGGTGTTGTTTATAGTTTTTTTGTCCTTTTTCTTAAGTTGTGAGTATATGAGTTTGAGTGTTTTTGTAGGTTTTTGGGCGACGTTGATATGAAATGGTTGAAGAAGTCTGGCAGTCATTTCTGATGTTCCGTTTATGTATGGTAATGGGACGATTTTTTCAGTTTCGTCTGGTTTTTTGTTGCTTTTGTCGGTTTGTGTTTTGTATATAGTTTTGTTTATGAAGTTTTGTTTATGAAGTTTCTAGGGTAATTGTTTTTAATAAATGTGGAGTATAAGTAGTTGCGTTTTGTTTTTTTGGCTTCTTCAGTATTGCAATGAGTGTTTATCCTGTTGAAAAGTGTTTGAATGCAGCTTATTTTGTGTTGTGTTGGATGATTGCTGTTGAAATCGAGTATTTGGTCTGTGTGGGTGGTTTTGTAGTATACTTGTGTGTTTAATGTACCGCAATCTGTTCTGGTTAGTAGGATGTCGAGGAAGTTAAGTTGTTTGAAGTTGTTTGTCGTGCTGTTCGTTTTTAGTAAAGGTAATGTTCTTTTTGGTATTGTTTATGGTGTGTAGGATTTGTTCAGTTATGCCACCACCTTCGTGGTCTAACGTCGTGATGTCTTTGAGGCAGTCTGCAGTAAACTAAAAAAGAGATTATATAATTTTTCCATTTAAAATTATCTAAAGTAATCAAATGATAAGAATGGCCATATGCCCACTTTACTACAGACATATTTATATTGTAACTATGATTATTAAACTGGTTGGGGTGGACAATTTACACCTAGTTTGCGGGCTATAGAAACAACTGTTGTGACGTCTTCCCATGTCATTCTTCGTTTGTTATCTTTGATTTCAACACCAACATTCTTGATATGACGTTTTAAGATCTTTAAGCAATACTGAGTGTGATTTCCAATACATGGATGGGGAATATTTAACCTTTCTTTTAAGCTGTGCATATCTGATTTGAATAGATTAAATAAGCGATTGAGATCCAATCGCGAATATTTTATACACATGTCTTCACTCTTGGCAGCTTCACTTATTGACAAACAGTAGGAAATTGGAATGAGTTTTGCATAGTAATCTTGGGCATTCAACGGTCCATGGTATGCAGTTTGAGGTTGAACTAATAATCTATTTCGATTAACTGTGTCATTTTTCTGAATTTTGTGGCCTTCAGGTAAACGGTTGTTGTAAACATTCAAATCACTGCACATTTCTATATTCCAGTCGTAGCGATCTTTCTCAAAGAACCAAGCGTAGCTGATGATAACGTTTACTGGAGAAAGAGCATTGCTTGTTTCGTGAAATTGTTGATATGCTTCTTCAAAGTTACTTGTATTGAAGTTTTTTAATATGTGGTCTCTGCAGTGTGTAAACGTGTCACGGTAGATGTACACAGGAAAGTATGTCATAAAATCAGCAACTTGTGGTAGTCCTATCGCTAACTTTGTGGTTTTTGCCCATGATTCTCCCCAGTCAAATTTCATTGCACATTCTGAACCAAGAATTCTTACTTTGCCATTTGCCTTTATAGTTGATATGGTTACAGGGAAAATAAATGGCGAATCACTATCTAACCAAGCTATCATCTCATCATCGGTGTAAAGATCTATGAAAAAGCTGCTCCATAACTGACGATTATAACCAGGTTGATTTAGCTGACCAGGATAAGTTAAAACCAACGGATCTTTTGGTAGTGGCTCGTATTTTACTTGAAAAGTTTGATTGGGAAAATGTTCTTTCGTTTGATTCAATAGTGTTTCACCGAAGGCGTGATCCTTCTCTGATTCTTCATCAAGTACAAGAACCATTTTACCTAGCCATCCTGGCCAGAAAAGAGGAATCGTCTTCAACATATTGCAGTAAAATCTATGTCTGTGGTCATCTCTTTTACCTGACATTCTCATGTACAGTGAAATTGAAGGATGATCATGATTGATATTTTTCGTGGGAGACTGAAAAACGTTAAATTTTGAAAGTACATGTTCCTGGTCAATAATACCAAAAGACCTGTTTAGTTTTGGAAGGAAGTAAATATACAACATCCCCAAACAGCCAACAGCGACGAGCCAATACTTGATACAAACTTTCATTATTATAGACCAATTGTTGTTATTAAAGCGTTAATCTTCTACAAAAACACAAAATATTTTATTTATATATCAATGAAAATGAGATCCTCACTTGTGAAATCAATCCACCCTTTTGCCAATATGAAGCACTTATTGCATTTTCCTATGTCAAGTGGTACAAAGTAGTGTTATAATTGATTATAAAAGCTACACATATTTCAAACAGAACTGCTGTTACTTATAAAGACCTAAAGACATATTTCCATCATAAAACTGGCAAAAGAACACATTAATGCCAAAAGACAGTATTTATATAAAAAAACGTAACACAAAAATATTTAGCAAATAATTTCTTTCATAAGGAGAAAAGTTACAAACTAATTTGGACAGTTACAATTACCAGACACAATTGACACCCACTTATTATAAATAAAAATATAACAAATAATTCACACATCAGAAATAAAAACATCGCATGTCATATTAATTCACAATGACAATACACAATTGACACCCACACATTTCCTGTACACACAAAACAATCACGTAAAAGCCAGATAACAAATACGGCTAACCAGACGTTTACTCCTCATTTGACTCTGAAAATGACTCCCACTAAGGTTGCGTCAACAACAACAAAAACAGTCCTCCTCAGGACTATA